GGAGTGTAAACCCAGGTCTGACTCCAAAGCCCTGGCTTTGTCCTTTATAGTAAGTTGCTTCTTTAAAAAATGTGAAGAGTCAAAAGCAGAAGAAAGTCATTTTAAAAATGTCATGAAAGAAGTGGAATTGGATCTGAGGGAGAATGTTCTTCAATCATTTAAAAATAACCAAAGTCTTCAGCAGTATCCATTTGACAGTCAATTCAACTTCCAGGAACAGCACAAAAGAACCTTTTTTTCCAGACAGTGCGATGATCTTAAAACATTTTAACTCCAAGAATCTCTTGATTTTCATGCCATTGTTGTGTGTTTTCATTTTCTCTACACACGATGTTTTAAACCCCATAGTGCACTATTGTTATATGCTGTCAATATTTATTTAGATTTGTCCACAGATTTTACCCTTCTCATCAATCTTTTCTTCTTGCCCTTCTGATTTTCCATCTCAGTTCATTTTACTTCTGCTTGAACACCTGTCTTATCTCCATTAATGCAGGCCTGTTTGTGATAATTGCCTTGATGTCCAGAGATGCTTTTATTGCTCTTTTAATTTTGAAGAACATTTTTTGTTGTTTTGTTGGCATAGATTTCTAGATTGGTTATACTTTGTTTTAGCACTGTGAAAATTTCCCATTTGCTTTTTGGCATTCTTTCTTTTGAGAAACCAGCAGTAAGTTTGACTATTGTTCTTTTGAAGATAATGTCTTTTTTCTTTATGTTTTGTAAGGCTTTTTTTCCTTTGCTGTTCATTTACTGTGAATGTGACTAAGTTTTTTCGGGGTGGTTGTTTTTAAATATATATTTTATTGATTTTTTACAGAGAGGAAGGGTGAGGGATAGAGAATTAGAAACATTGATGAGAGAGAAACATTGATCAGCTGCCTCTTGCACACCTCCTATCGGGGATGTGCCTGCAACCAAGGTACATGCCCTTGACCTGAATTGAACCTGGGACTCTTCAGTCTGCCAAAGCTCTATCCACGGAGCCAAACGGATTAGGACATGGGGGTTGTTTTAAAGTTTGGCTTAGGCTTCATAATTTGTGACTTTATTACCAGTTTCTGAAAGTTGTCAGCTATTTGCTTTTTAAAAAAATTTAAGAACATCCCATTTTTCTCTCTTCTTTGCTTCAGGGATTCTAAATACATTTAAACCATCTTACTGCATTCTCTATTTCTCTTACACTTCATCTGTACTTCTAAAATTATTTTCCTAAGTGTATCCCTCTAGAGATATTCTAATATGGTCTTAATTATCTCTATGTCTTATTTGCTACAAAACCCATTGAGTTCATTTCACTACCCCCTTCCCCTTGGGGACTTGGATCATTTTTTACGTTTTCCAAAGTTATCAATCTCATGGTGCTGTTGTTGTTTTTTGTTGTTTTCTCTCTTAACATTTAGAAGAATGGCACAAAATCTTCCTGTCCCCTGTTGCCAGGAGAAGGCTGGCTGTGATGGTGGAGGGGACAGAAGTTACCGCACCGGTGACCAGGATTCCTGCACTGATACTGTTCCGCTGCCTGTGAGGAGAACAGGAAACTCACACTCACTTAGGACCTCCATTATAATACAATCTGACTGCCAAGGAGAGGCAGGCCCACACTTAGTTTAACCCACTGTATGCCATAAGCGTCTGTAGACGCAAGTGGCGGACCTTTCCCCGCACGCCATGTTTTCCCTAAGTGGCAGTCCTGACCAACTTTAAAATCATTTTTCATGAGAATTTTCAGCTGAAAATATTTAAGAACATCCAAATTTTAATAGATTTATTTTTATAATATTCATTGTAAATTAATTTTTAAATTCAAAATATCATGGCTTGTGGAGATGGTTTCCATTTTGGATATGTAGCAGTTAACTGGTTAAGAGCACGGGGCCTGCGTGAGACTTGCACAAAGAAATAAGCAACAGCTCTTTACAGCTAGGAGGTCAGTAGGATAAGTGAGCATAGCATTCCATCTACACAATGGAATACTTACAACAGCATGGATGGACCTGGAGAGCATTATACTAAGTGAAATAAGCCAGTCAGAGAAAGATAAATACCACATGATCTTACTCATTTGTGGGATATAATGAACAACATAAACTGATTGAACAAAAATAAATCCAGACACAGAGAAGCAATGAACTGTCAAACCTCAGAGGGAAGGCAGGGAGAGAGGGATGGAGTTAAGATATCAACCAAAGGACTTGTATGCATGCATATAAGCATTACCAATGTACACAGACACTAGCAGGGGGTGGGAGTGGCCAGGGAGAAGTCAATGGGGGGAGAAATAATACTAATAGCTATGCACGGGAGGGAGGGAGGGCAGGGGTACTTGAAATATCAGGAAGACCATTCTGTAAAGTGTATGATTGTCTAACCACTATGTTGTACACCTAAAACTAATAAAGAATAATAAGGAATGTAAAAAAATAATAAACAAAATGCTACAAAGGTTACTACTATGTTTTTGCATTCACAATTCATTGCTGGTAATGCCTATTATATACCTGTAGTTAGTCAGAAATGCAACCCAACTGCAATGTTGCTTTGGGAAAAATTTCATTTTATAAGGAGTATATTGCAGTAAAAAGTAGAGCTCATCCATGAAACATTACAAAATACTGGTCCCACCTGGTCAGTGTTGCTCAGTGGTTGAGCATCAATTCATGTGCCAGGAGGTCCCAGTTCTCCCAATCAAGGCACATGCCTGGATTTCAGCCTCAATCCCCAGCAAGAGGGGTGCAGAAGGCAGCCAATTGATTTTGATGTTTCTCATTAATGTTTCTCTCTCCCCCTCCCTCTTCCTTCCTCTCTCTCTAAAAACATATTTTTTTTAAAACAATCAAAATACTGGTCCCATTGGAAGTAATATTTATCAACTATGCCCTGGTGTTATTTCTTGATTTAGAGTTATACTTTAAGTTTGTGGGTGCTATTCATACTTCCCAAATCCAACAAAAACAACTAAATCCAAAAGTACATTTTTATTTGCAGCAAAATTATAAGACAGGTGGTACTTTAAAGTAGATATTTAAACTCAATACCTGAAAAACTGAAATGTGATGTTTAATTACAGCTCAAAAAATCAAATATGGCACTGCAATTTCCTTAAGCTACTTTCTTTATTTCAAAGTGTCAAAAAACCTAAAGATGTTCTTGTACACACATATGCTGTGACTAAGAATTCAGAACTATGCAAAGAATTTTTCAATATGACTAAAAAAATGAAATATTTACACCCTTTAGTATAGTACTTAATACTTAATACATCTCTTTCTGATGCTACTTCTAAAGAGCAATGACTCAACCAGAAAAATAGTAAAGGTTGCCTTTTCTTTTATAATATAAAGTGCTTATTAGCAAACATTTCCAAAAGCGATGGTTTTTAGAAATACATAATATTCAAAAGTGCTCAGAGTCACTACTTATAGAATCGAATCTGCCATTCTGTACCTTTGCACATGTAAACCGGCTTTATCTGCATTGATGAAAGATTGCTTTCAATGGCCCTCAACTGTATGCTTCAAATCATAACAGTGCTATTAGTATCAGCAGCGGGAACAGTAACAACAGAACAAACCCAGCACATTCTTAATGGATCACAGCAGACCAGAAAAACTGTTCAGCTTGTGGATATGTTACATATCCAAGGATGAGCCTTTTTTTTACTCTGCCTACATGGTAAACATTTAAAAACAAAAACACCTTCTGTCTCTCTATAGAGTATTTTACAGTACACAAAGATATTCAAATTCTTGTAACATTTAACCAAACTCATTTTAATACAAAGCCTATTTCCACCAAGAAAGTAAGTAGGAATTAAATGAAATACCTAACACTAAAAACCTGAGAGGGAAAATTGTAAACAATTCAGAAATGAAGCTTTTTTAAAAAGACAGAACATTCCAAATAGAATGTTTTCTGAGTGAAATATTTGACTTCATATCAATCATATCATTTTTATCTGATTTACATAATTTAGAAAAAATAAGCATCATCTTAACTGCTTTCTATATCATTCTGATTCATGTCCCTAGTATACTAGTAAACCATTTAGTGGTCTTACTGTGAGCATCCCCTCAGCTCCCCGTCAATTGTATGAGTCCTAAGCTTCTTTTCGCTCCTTCTGTACCTCCCTTCCAAAAATCCCCATATATCATAAGAAAATCTCCATTAAAAAGTCACAATTTAAATACAGTGTGATAATGCTACATTTGACTTAAAGTAGAAATTATAAATTGCCAAATAACTTAATGTAATTCACAATGCAAAATCCCTGGTATAAAAAGAATTCATCTTGCCCTGGATATAATAAAGCAGTCCAATGATTTCAAATTACTTATGAAATAAAGGCAAAAAATAAGGTGTAAAATAGTATTTATAAAAGTCAAGTAAGAAACCAGTTACCATAAATCTTTTTACAAAGATAAATGTAATGGGTCTTCCACTTTTAAAAATTATTAGGGAGGCCTATAATTAGTGGTTTCAAAAATGACTTTAAGAAAACTAGAGAATGAATTACTTATTATTTATAACGTATGACATATTTAATATATATGTAACAATAATACTGCTATGGTAATGTAAATTAATCTTTGGATCTGCTACCTTTTGGCAAGTATATTTTCTTTTTCAAAGTCTTTGCTATAACTGATTAATTTTTTAAATGTTGGTTTTCAAAAACTTTGCTACTTGAGATATTGTTAATAAGATACCAGAAGTCTCAAATAATAATATGCCTACAAAATAAAACAAAGATTGTCCATGCATCTTTTGTTATTATAATAAATACACTTTAAAATAGACAACATTGCTATGCCTGTAAATTAAAAATACCCAAAACCTTAAAAAGGGGATGAAAAAGGAAAGACAAATCAAAAATTCTTATTTTTAAAAATAAATCGGAAGTCCTTGAATTTCTTAAGAACTTTATCTTCTTTTGGACCAAGCTGTATCTTTCATCATTCATCCATGGGATATGATGTTAAATCTCCATTTTGTAAGTTTCAGTTTAAATTTTCTTGAAAGTTTGCAAAGCTGGTACTGGACTTGAGACGTTTGGCTATATAAATAAAAAAATATTAAATTTAACTTAAACTTAATTCTCTAAACATGATTATTCATTGTTTTAATGAATAAACTATAGTATTTAATGAGTAAACTATAGTATTTTAAAATATATAGTAACTCATCTATTAATTTATATTTGAATCAGAATAGGTTCAATCTTCTAAGAATTAAAACCTAAGTATTTTTTTCTATCAAACTCAAAAAACAAAACTTTGTTAGAAGCAGTACCAAGTAAAACAGACATAATTTATATCATAGTGAGCATCACAATCTTAAATATGTAATACAGGTGAAAATACAAATGGAAGTGCTATAAAGTATAATAAAATTACATATTCAAAAGTCTAAGTTAGAAATCCAAACATAAATTTCTCTTAAAAGAATTCAGTTCAGCCCTGGCAGGTTTGGCTCAGTAGTTGAGAGAGTCAGCCCAAAGGGTGGAGGGTCAAGGACATGTACCTCAGTTGCAGGTTCGATCCCCAGCCCTGGTGGGAGAGCTTGCAGGAAGCAACCAATTGATGTCTCTCGCCTCCATGCTTTTCTTTCTCTTCCTTTCCTCCCCCCCCCCCCCGCCCCTCTCCTTTCCTCCTTCCCTCCCTCCTTCACTCCATTCCACTCTCTCTAAAAATTAATGGAAAAAAATACCCTCAAGTGAGGATTTAAAAAGTAATAATTCAAACAATAGTATGGAGATTACCAGAGGGAAAGGGAGGATAGGGGGTGGTAGAATAGTTAGTGTAAAGAGGGGGAGGAAAAAGCCTAACTTTTTTCTCTAAAAATCATTTTCTATTTATAAACTAAAATTACTGAAAAGAGAAGCTCTTACTTTCATTCTGATAATAAACAAGCATCTCAAGAGACTTAGAGGCACTTTCTTCAGCTATCAATAAAATGGGATCTTCTATTATAGTTAGTGCCTTTTCTGCTCTGCCCTATTTGATGGGAACAAAGGAAAGGTATTAATTTGTATTGAGCACATGTTATATGTCAAGTAATGTTCTTGCAACTGCAATTTCAATTTGTTCAAAAACGAACTGTGTGTAAGCTATCGTTTATCCTATCCAGGTGCTTCTGCCATGGCTCCAGTGGGCCTAAGAGCTGTCTATCTCCCCACTGTGGCCATTTAGGTCTTCAACATCTTAGTTGCTTATTCCTCCACTGTTGCCAACCTTATTCCAGGGATTCTAGCTTTTTCAATTAAAGCATCTGAAAGATACTGTATGCTGACTTTTGATCATCTGCATTTACAAATTTCTTAATACATCTCTTTCATTAGTAAGCATAATTGTGAAATTGGAAGTAAAGAATTGTCTAAGGCTAGTAAACTTTTGAGTTCTCAGAGTATGTATCATTTTTAAAACAAGCCTAAATTTTTATTTTTATTTATTTTTATTTTTTTATTTTAAAAAATATATATTTTATTGATTTTTTACAGAGAGGAGGGATAGAGAGCTAAAATGTTGAGAAGAGGAAACATCGACCAGCTGCCTCTTGCACACCCCCTACTGGAGATGTGCCCACAACCAATGTACATGCCCTTGACCGGAATCGAACCTGGGACCTTTCAGTCCACAGACCGACGCTCTACCACTGAGCCAAACCGGTTTCGGCTAAATTTTTATTTTTTAAATATATTTTTATTGACTTCAGAGAGAAAAGGAGAGGGAAAGAGAGAAATAGCAACGATGAGAGAGAATAATTTATTGGCTGCCTCCTGCATGCCCCCTACTGGGGATCAAGCACACAACCTGGGTATGTGTCCTGATTAGGAATCAAGATGTGACCACTTGGTTCATAGGTCAATGCTCAACCACTGAGCCATGCTGGCCAGGCCAGGACTAAATTTTTTAAATACAGGTTTTTAACTAAATAAATAAAAAGATACTTACGTAGAATGAGTTTTCGTTTCTTTTGTTCTGAATGAAGAAAGCTACTAAGGTAGAAGACCACAGGTAGAAAAAGGATGAACACAGAAACAGCGATTACAGGCACAGTATCACTGCAAGGGACCGAACAATTGAAAGTTCGACTCCAAAGTTTTCGAGTAATGTTCATCTGGAAAAATAATAAATAATATAACTCTATTTTATATTTGGTTTGTCTTCAATTTCATACAATTATTTTGTTAATAACTAAACCAACACTTAGAATTTAAACTAAATATACATGGTAAAAAAAAAAAATCTATGGATCATTGAGTATAGTATCTTTTGCCAGGAAATAAGGTGGTTCACAATTAGTCATTGTACAAATTTACATCCATACAAAAATTTCATATTCTAAGTTCAAAATAATGTCCTGATGTCCAAATAATGTTGACCTTTCACAGAGTTGAAACAGAACTTGTATCAATAAGAATATCAAAAAAGATTTAAAAGGGTAACTAAATGATGTGATAGATGTGTTAATTAACCGACTATGGGAATCCTTTCACAGTTTATACATGTCAAATCATAACGTTATACACTTTAATTATATTATAATTTTGTCAATTATACCTCAATAAAATTTGGGGAGTGGAGTAGGAAAATTTTTTTCCCTGTTAACATATGTAATCTTTAATCTTGTTGCAATATTTTTAGATGAACATAAAAATATCACCTTTATAGGGCTTCTCTGTTTATGAAATGCTTAATATTTTATCTGAGATATATAAAAGATTCATACTCATGGCAAATATATTTAAGTACATAATACCCAATGAGTCATGGAAACTTTCTTAGACAATAATATCTTATTTAGTAGCATGCAATAGATACAAGTTAGGGGCAACAATATCTTACTTTCACTAAGCTCTTGATTTCTGTCAGTCTGATAATATAAGGAAACTATCAAATTTAATGTAGAAAACTGTTGTCTGGATTTTGTTTACTTGAGGTACAGTTTACAAATAATACATTATATGTTTACTGTAAGTTTTGCTTATTACAAGAAGGATGTTCTTAAATAGGTGGTCATGTTGATTTCTTGTATAATTCCATTTATGTCACAGAACCAATATTCATTTTTCTTCTTTATTTTAAAAACAATGAAATAGACTATTGTTTTAAAAACACACATTTATTACTTATTGAGAGGCTATAGGAAACCAGGCACTGCCCTAGCCACTTTTGCTCAGTAAATAGAGCATAGGCCTGTGGGACTAAAGGGTCCTGGGTTCGATTTTGGCCAAGGGCACATGCCTCGGTTGCAGGCTCGATCCCCAATAGGGAGCATGCAAGAGGTAGCCAATCAATGATTCTCTCTCATCACTGATGTTTCTATCTCTCTTTCCCTCTCCCTTCCTCTCTGAAATCAATAAAAATATATATTAAAAAAAGAAAGAAACCAGGTACTATTCCAGACATTGGTAATAAAGCAGTAAAAAAAAAAAACCACAAAAATCCACAGGGTACATCTACTTGAAATACTTTTTGCCATCCTGAATATTATTGATCCACTATAGTTAACTCTGAGCTGCTATGGTAATTCATATAATTCTCAACCATTAAGTTTATCAATTTTAACTCTGAGTTCTCTACATTTAGCCAGTAATTACTTTCCTCTAATTCCTTAATGCTCAAGACATCATATTCCCATAAAAAGGCAGGCTATACAATGGAGAAAAAGCTTTTTTGTTGACTATTCATTCCATCGATACATATTACTCAGGGCCTGTTATATGCTAGACCCTGTTCTAAATACTAAACAGAAAACAAAAAGGGGCATGAGGTCCTTTTATCCTCATGTGGCTTGTATTTTAGTGGAGGGAAGACAGACTATAAATAAGAAAATTTTCAGGTAGTAATAGATATAAAGAAATAAAGCAATGGGATAGGAAGTAATTGAGGAATGGCTTCAGAAACACATAATAGCAAAAGTTCTTGAATCAGCAACACATGAATAAGAAACTGAAATGTAAAACACATAACAAAGTCCACACAACTCAGAAAATGATACACATTATCAAACTTAAAAATCAAAATGTATCAAAGTATCAACTCAGTTCTGAAGACCTGATTGATTTCCATTTTACTTTGACAGATAAGAATATTCTAAAACTTTACTACTTTATAATTAGTTATTTCTGGTTGAAGACAGAATATGAAGATTCCAATATACCTCTGAAAGGGGTAATAATACTAAAAGCATATTCAACAACACTGTAAAATATGTATCTTATTAAAAGCAAAGTACTTACTGCATCTTCCACATCGATGCATAAATGTGTTCCAGGTTCAGCCTTATTCTCATGTTCGTTCCTTTTTTGCATTTCACTGTACATACTACTCAGAGTTTTGTATGCATTGAGACAGTTTTTGCATACTTCTGAATAATTTTTTAACTGGAGAAGACTGTGCATGCTCTCCTAAAATGTAAAAGGCACATGTAATACATATAATAAACATCACATCTCTTTAATGTGAGCTATTTGTCCTCCTAGAAAACAGGAAATAACAGAGTATGTTAGGTGCTGAGCTATGGGGTTGAGCAGGTCACTAAATCACTCCGAGCCTCTGTTTTATCATCTTCAACGGAGGACTACACTACCTGGTCCCAATTATTAGAAACCTGGCATATAAAGCACATAGCAAAATATTTTGGCACCTTCCAGTTACCTCTAAATTCTGAAAACCACTGCACTACCCTCTGTTAACTGAGGACAACAAAACTTTCCTAAATTATCTTAATCATTTTACATTTGCTCTTATGTATCCTACTTTCACCGCATAAATAAAATATGAGCTTGCCTGTGCTGACTTCAACAGAGAGGACTTCATTAATGGGAAAGAAAAAGTCACTAAAACTACATCCCACATGATCCTCTTACCCCAAGGTTTATAATCCAGGCCTTTCTACTCAACAAAAAGGGACTCACACCAAAGAATTCTTTAACCTAAAATGAAGATAATGGATATAACATACAAGATAGTATGTTAGTGAATCTCAGTCTTTTCTACTTAGGACTAATGCTGTGTTTTCTAAAGAATCGGTTCACTTTATTCTTCACCTTGTGGCCTGGAGAAATGCTATGTTAACTGAATATCAGAATGAAAGGGAAAGAAATAATAAGAGAATCTAACACAATACAGTCCCCATAACGCTAGCCTTACCATCTGTTTGACAGAGAAACTAAGACTCTAGTTCTGTCACAAGAAATGGCCTACTGCCTCTTTTTCACAGAACTGTGCATTTAGCTAAAAGTGTTCAATCAAAAACTGAGCACAGACCCTTGATGGGAGAGTGTAACTTAGGCATTTATATTAAAATTTTAAATGCACATATATTTTAACAGCAATAAAAACCACGAAGGTTCTAAAGGAAATCATAAAAGAATTTTAAAAAATAATCTCAAAGTGGGAAAAGACCTTCTAGTGCGACACAAAATCTGCAAACCATTAAAAAAATGTTTATAAATCTAACATTAAAATTTATTTATAACAAAAAATACAATAAAAAGACAAAAAAACAGGGGACCCTTTTCCCCTCCCCATGCGGGAGCCTGTTCTGTGAGACTCTTTTCCCCTCCCCATGCGGGAGTCTGTTCTGTGAGACTGCCACGTGGGAGTCTGAATATTTGTTCTTCAATAAATCTCCATCTTTGCTTAAAAACAAAAAATAAAAAAAACAAAAAAACCTAGGAAAAATATTTGCAACTAACATTCCAGGAGAAATGCTAATTTCCCTAAAATGCATTCATCAGAATACTAATCTCTTAAAACAAAGAGTTTCTGGGTGAATAGGTTTGATATACAAAATTTACGGTTTCGAGTTTTACAACACACATTACTCCACTATAATTGTGAAGTCCTGTAGTAAAGCATTTCCCAACCGGATTAGTAAAAGAGCATCTACTAACATCTTTCAGAACACAATTTTTATTATTGCCAGGAAAATTCATAATTTTGTGTTATCATTAGGAAATCATGCATATCTATATCCTAAATATGTTTACATCTACTTGTGGGGATTATTTACTTGTTAAGGGAGTTTCAAAACTATAATTTTATCAGAGTTCCGATCTCATCCTCACCACCACCAAGGAGGTTCCAACACCAACATTCAGGGATCAGAGTAGGACAAACTGAAAACCACTAGGGCAGGTTTCTTGAAGGCTACCTTTTATATTATTAATTCAATACTCAAAGTTACCAACTATAATAAACAGTGCCTTTTTAAGAAGGTAAAATATATGTAAGTGAACACAGACACACAGAATCGTATGCATTGCAAAATACCATACTGCACAAAGTCAAAGTCAATTACTGTCCGACAGAACGACGTTACATTAAAGTTAAACAATCACATGCCTCAGTTAATGTGTTTATGTTCATTATCTCACTGGGTCCTCACTAAAGAACACTTGAAGGTAGGCTGGGTAGTTCTTGCTATCCCGAGGTACAAAAAAGAAAACTAAAGTTTCTGTGATTTGCCTAAGGGCTAGTAATGGAAGAACTTAGCAAACATCCAGGTCCACTAACTTCTCTATATTGTGTTTATAGACTAATGCCATAAGAGTTGGAATTATTTTTTGTTCATTTTAATTTCAAGTATCAGATATAAAATACCTGAAGGTTATTCTCAAAGCAGGTCAAGGTGTTATTGAATTGATTGAGGAAGTTTAACGTGCTAATTGATAATTCTTCACTTTTGTTCGTTAAACAATCTGTCAAAAAAATGCAAAAAAGTATATTAATATATCTCAAGCGACAATTATATATTGCCATTTCTTTCCCTCAAGCTATCATCTTGTTTCACACCACAGTAATTCTTTATTTAAACAAGCTTAAAGTGTTCCACATAAGGAAATTTCTCATATACATAAAGTTTACCCCTTTTAGTTTCCAAAAGTTATTTTTTATATAATAACCATTTTAATGAAAATCTCAAAATAATCCCTTATACTTTCTTTATAAAAAACAATATACCAATCAGTTTTTGTCAGCTCAAGGTCTTAATCATGAGCATCCGTTGTCAAATGCTGTCTTAGTAGGAGGATCTAGTGCTGTTTAGGCATAAAACTGTTTATCCTGCAATTATTTTACCTAAATTCATCTCCTTTTTTATCCTTTTCTGTATCTAATTTAGTAGGTCTGTCTCTCATCGTCACTAGTGGGTCATTTGTTGCATCTAACATGGTAACATTTTTTCATATACCTTTTGGGAGAATAGAAACAAGCTGGTGGGAATTTTGCCTGAAATACTGATAAAGAGTCTTCAAGTAAAACATGGGGGAGAAAAAAAATATAACTGTTTACAGGTTTTAAAAAATCTCACACAAATGATATTCCTCTGCATCTGGCTTCTCTTGCTTAGCATTACTCAAGTTCATTCTTTTTAATTGTTTTCTATGTTGAATGTAGCCCAATTTACCTATTCTTCCTTCTTCAATAAACCTATTCTTTTTCCTCACTTTGCTTTTACCTCTCCGTGTTCTCAGTTTACCCTCTCGTCTGGTCGGTTCAAGTGCCTAGCTTCACATCCTAGAACTCATGGTCAGTAGTTTCAATTTCACCCTCCTAGAACCCTGATCCTCTGTGTTCCACATACAAACATTTGGTCAGACCCCATTCCTTTTAATTGTTTTCTTAACTCCAATTCAGGTTGTAAAATATTATTTTAGAAAATTCTGAAGTTACAGTAAACTTCTAATTCACAATTCAAATTCTAATTCACAAAACAATCTTTATAGATGCCCTGCCAATTACTCTACAAAAGATGTTCCCACTGTTTTCCATTCTGTAGCAACCAACCCCACTTTTGTTCCCCTTAATTTTAACTGGTAGCTATACTATATACCCCCACAGGGCCAGCTATTATGATAGCTCTCAACTGGGAATGGAGAGACAGGATAGGAGGCTATTGAAATTATCCAAAAGAAAGGTGGCAATGCAAATGAAAGAATTCAATGGATAATAGAGACTGAGTAGGCAGCAAAGGGGACCAGATTATGACACCTCAAAATAAGCCTCGATAGCATATAGATTATTTTGAGCTAAAGGCCATTGATAACCAGCAGACTCAAGAAAACTCTAAAAGCAGGGCACAAGTTCTTATTTTGTAAATATTTACAAAGGAAATTTCCATTTGCAAAGATGTTTTGCCTATCGTGTAAAAGGAAGAAGAGGACTCAACAGCTCTTACCAGTGGAGAGGCATCAACTTCAATCTCTGTAACGAGCCTTACTATACAACCCTTGTTTACCATACATTTCCTGGTCACCCTCCCTAACTTGTCTCCTCCACCCAGAAGCCCCAAGTCCCTTTTCTTTCGTTAGTGTAAGACGGCATATAAACCCAAACTCTAACCATCCCTTTGAGTTACTCCTCATTGGGGGCTCCCAAGTATACAAGTGCCATACATATGTTAAAAAGTTGTTTGTTTTTCTCTTGATAACCTGTCTTTGGCCAGTCTAATTTACAGAGTCTCAACCAGAAAACCTAAAAAGAAGGAAAAAGATGTTTTTCTTCCCTACAGCAGACACTAGGATATGACACACTATGAGATACGCATGTAGCATGATAAACAACAACCATGAAAATGAAAGCTAACATTAACTGAGTACTTGTGCTCTGCTTGTTCTTTAAACACTTTTCCTCCCATTTCATTCTTACAATAATCCCATGAGGCAAGAACTACCTCCATTTTCTAAATAAGGAACTGGGGCTTAGAGGAATTAAGGAAGTTGCTCAAAGTCACAAAACTGTTAAGTGAAAACTTGAAATTTCTACTCAGTCTGATTCCTGAGCCTGCACCTTCAAACACTAAAAAATAATTAAATATTTACATATAAGTTCTAACCATTAAAGTGTAATACTTGGAGTCAAAAAATACCTGCCACCACTCCTCCCTCCCCTGCCCATAGATGTATTACACGATGCAGAGATTCAGTCACTACCAAATGATCAGTGTTGGTGCCTGAGATACAAACCTAAACCTGGTGAATGGGACAGCAATAGCAATTAAGACTCCTTTATGCAAATTTTAAAGACTTCCCCTGTGGGTAAACTAACTACCAAACACACACACACACATACACACACACACACACACACACACACACACACACACACACACACACACTCCTGCTTCCAGAGGCTGAGCTGGAATTGCGCCCCGTTCACCCCTCATACAATCCCTCAGGTGCATGGGTTGGTCTGCACCTTGTATACATAAGGCCCTGCTAGTGAACCTATTTCTACAATCTTTCCTTCTCTCAACTCACTTTATCTATATTCCCTGCAGCTTTTTCTTCTCAAGAATGTAATTCGATTCTAACTGTTCACATTATCATTTAAAAATCTGAGGGATCACTTCATAAATTAGCAAACAGTCAAAGAAACAAATGGCACACAGGGGAATCATAAATCAAATTAGTAAGGCTATGAAATATAAAATATACCCTCCAGACCCTCAATTAAGTATCTCCTTAATTATTCCACATTTTCTTTACTATTTAAAAATTTTACTTCACCTGTCAGCTTTCAGAAAGTTCACATACTGAATTCTTTAAAATATAACATAAGCACCCCCCACTTAATCCTGGTTTAACGTCATCACAAAGTTGCCTTGAATCATTTTAAGCATGAGGCAGAGTACATATAAATAAAAAGAAACACAATAACAAATATGCAGAATATTAGTATACAGTATATGAATAGGTTTTCCATACAGGGAATACAATTGCATCCATGGTAATTAGACATCTGCGTTATATGAGCCATGTCATGGCAACTGACATACATAATATAGGGATAGATGAATGTGTGTCCATCCCTGTGTTGCCTATAAAATGAACAATTGAGAGCAATGCTAATTTCTTCCATACAAAGTATATAAATTTCTTTATAAAAAAGTAATTTGTAGAATTAAAAAAGGCAAACAAAAAAAAAGTGATTTACAAAGGAAGCTCTCTGAACAAAGGAGTTAATCTCTTCTATTTCACTGACAGCCATTCCTCTTCCCTTAAAATAACTGGAACATTAAATTAAAAGCTAGTCATATAGACTGAACATCTTGTTATATACTGTATTAATGCAGTATCATCAAATTTTTCAGTAATCATTAAACAGTGGCATGATACAGCATAAAGAAATTCATTTATATAATGAGGCTAAAAATGTCTTCATTATTAAAGAGCCCTGACTTTCTGACTTAAAATAAAGGAATGCCAGTAAAATTCCTTTTATCCTTTTATAGGAACTGGGAAAATGAAGTTATAAACAGTGAGAGGCTATATATTTTAATTATTAAGTTAAGGAATATTAATGATAAAAAAAAAGCTTCCTAGAAGCACTAAATGAAGTGGTCATTATAAATTTTCCTCATCTCAGATAATCAATGCAGCAGCATCAAGGTCACATGAGCATAGCTTCTTTCTCAGTGAGGGCTGAAGCATCAGCTCAAAGACATTCTTAAGGGTGTTAACAATTCAAGTGAAGACTTTCATAGAAACCTCCTGATATAATAGTAGGAATTACACATTTTTCCATAAAGTATTTGTATAAAGATATCTGTTTTTTTTCAAAACTAGTTTTATAGAAAACAATAGAGACAATCACCAATTTCAGGGCAAGCTTCAGAAAATATAGTATAAACTAAGAAAACTTTGTACCTGGACAACGTAAGTTTGATAAGTATGAAAACTAAGATATTTTAAATTATAAGATACAAATGAGTGAGTCTAGTGCTTAGTATATTATCATATAGATAAAATATGGGGAAAAGAGGTCCTGATTAATTGACCTTTGGGTTAACCATTAAGTTTTATTATTGATTTTTAAAGAATCAAGATATAATAAGTGAAGGGTAATATACCTTTCTAAAATATACCTCTTTGCCATAAGAATTATTCTGAGCTGAAAGCACTTGAAACAGCAGATGCAGAGGGAAGCTTTTTGTGATTCCTCTAATATGCCTAAAGACAGATCCTCCAAAAGAAACTCAGTTGTCATAAATCCCTTCCCTGAGAGTTTGATCACCTTGGGGAAGATTGACACCTATCACTGTAAAGGAAATCAATGGAAGAGAATCAAGAGTTCAGGAATAAACCCTGATATACAGTCAACTGTGAGCTGAACACATAAAAACAGAGAGGAGAATGGTGATTGCCAGGGTTGGGAGTGGGAGAAATGGGAGATGTTGGTCAAAGGATACAAGCTTCCAGTTATGAAAAAGTTTTGGGAATCTCATGTAATAATTATAGTTAACAATACTGAATTAAGTACTTGAAAGTTGCTAAGAGATTAAATCTTAAATGTTCTCACCACAAAAAAGAAATGGTAATTATGTCATGTGATGGAGGTGTTACCTATAATAAAACTATAGTGGTAATCATTTGCAACATATAAGTGTATCAAATCAACACATTATATACCTTAAACTTATACAATGTTATATGTCCATTATATCTCAATAAAGTTGAAAGAGGAAAAAAAACAAAGAATGAAAACATTTAACCATGAAACAATCCATACTCTCATCAAATCTGGTCATTTTGCTAGTTATTCAACTGTCACATGCATAAGACAACCAAAAAGCACCTCAACAACAAATTTATCCTTAGGTCCACAATGCACTTCTGATAACAGCTTCAAAGTTCTGCACAGGAGAATTAGTAAATATATTTTCTTTACTTCTTAGCAGTCATTCTCCACAAGAACTAGATTTCATATTATTTGTAATGTGAATTGAAAGAGTTGAGCTCTTCCTGGAATATATAGAAACACTCTCACAAATTAAGATTTTATAAATACAAATTTCCCTGACAAAACCTTCTACTATTTTCGGAGCTTCTCCTGTTTCTGCTGTTTCTCAAAATAATTAGCTCAAAATAATCCTTATGCCAAAGAGGCATATTTTGGGGTGGCATGATCTGGTCTCTTATAGTCATATTTTGGTCTTCTACAATACAAAATGACATCCTAGAAAAACTTCTGATTGGGCACAATTTGTTTAAAATTTGTGTGATCTGACTGCCTTCTTCCATTTTATTAAAAGAGTAAATAAATATCCCTTATATTTTTTCCCCTATTTTTTATTATTTAAAGTATTACAAATAGTAGTACATATGTTTCCTTATTTTTTTCCCAATTGACCTTCCCCCAGCCTCCCCTATCCCCAGCACATGCCCTCACCCCCCTCCCAGTGTCCATTGGTTATGCTTATATGCACGCATACAAGTCCTTTAGTTGATCTCTTACCCCTGCCCTCAAACCTCCCTTGTATTCTTTTACATATTTCTTTTTCAAACATTTTTCAATTATAGTTGACATACATTATACTTTCAGATGTTTGCCCTAATGATTAGACATTATATAACTTTTAAGTGATTGATCAACCTAATAAATCTCATACCCATCTAACACCATATATAGTTACTAGAATATTATTGACTATATTCCCTATGCTGTACTTCACATCCCAATGACTATTCTGTAACAACCAATTTGTTCATCTTAATCCCTTCACCTTTTCACCTATCTCCTCCAACCCCCTTCCTATCTGGTAGCTGTTAAAATGTTCTCTGTATCTATGAGTCTGTTTTTGTACTGCTTCTTCATTTATTTTGTTTTTTTTTAGATTTGTTTGTTAATAAATATGTATTTATTGCCATTTTATTGTTCATATTTTTATTTTTTCTTCTTCTTAAATAATACCCTTTAACATTTTATGTAATAATGGTTTTATGGTGATGAACTCCAGCTTTTCTTTGTTGGGTTATTCTTTTACATATTTCTATAGGCAAATGATTTCATAAACAATGGCTAGCTATGTTAAAATGGGTTTTCTTTTATGTGCAAAGGTAAAGACTTTAGCATCTTTCAGTAATATCATAATTATTACTAAACAGTTAACATTTCTTGAATGTCAGGTACTGAGTTAAGTACTTTACACAAATTATCTCATTTAATCCTTAAGACAATGATATAATGTAGGTTCCATTATTACCATCAACTTAAAGATAAGGAAACTAAAAATCCCAAGAGGAAAAGTTACATGCCTAAGGTCTGGCAACTATTACGTTATGGCTAATAAGTGCCAAAATTTCAAATCAAATCCAGGTCTCTCTGACTGCAAAGCTCATGCTGGTAACTGCTACTTTTCTGCCTTTCAGTAAGTGCCCAAGTGGTTCCCACTAATAAACCCGGATGCCAGGCACAGTTCATTAAACATAGTAATAAAAAATATTCCATAGATTCAAAGATTTCAAGGTTCATTAAAATTTGAATTGAACCGTGACTGCAACATGAACATGAAATAATTACTTACTTGCACAATTTGCCTTCTGCCATGTGGAATTAAAGAACTCAGACAGAATCACAACTATTTGCATTCTATCTTCCATTAAGAGACTTCTGGCACAACTATGACTCTCTGAAGTATTCTGTAACAAAAAAGAAAAGAAAAAAAACACAACATGAGTATTTTTAGGAGCTTCCAAACAATTTGTGCACATTAAAAGGGGATTAGAGGAAATAATTTAATATTGCTATTTGCCCTTTCTCTATAATAGAAGTGTCAGAGATGAAAGAAAATTAGTAAAATGTATATGAAAACTTCCTTTTGTCAGAGTCTGGGGCGCACCATGGGACCCAGAGTCAAGTCTCTGCCCACCCACATGTGTCTCAAAATCGCATGAGACCCAGACCTGATCGCCCCCAGTTGGGCTAGATCCAGACCCGGCCAGTCCCACCCTTGTCAAGCCCCACCGGGCAGGGGGCGTAGCCTCAGGTCCCCTGGTCTGGCACCAGGACAGGGGGCGTGGCCTGAGGTCCCCCAGCCCAGACAAGAGGGTGGGGAAGGGAGGGGGGAGGCATTCCTTGAGGTCCTCCATCAAGCCCTGGATGGGGGGCATAGCCTCAGGTCCCCCAGCCCAGCACCAGGAAGGAGGCGTGGCCTGAGGTCCCCTGTCAAGCCCCACCTGATGGGGTGGGGGCATGGCCTGAGGTCCCCTGGCCTGTCACCTGGTCAGGGGGAGCAGCCTGAGGTCCCCTAGCCCAGAACCAGGACGGGAAGCACACCTTGAGGTCCCCCACAAGCCTCACTGGGTGGGGAGTGCAGCCTGAGGTCCCCCAGCCTGATACCAGGGCAAGGGGTGTGGCCTAAGCTCCCCTGTCAAGCCCCAGGGGAGGGTGTAGCCTTAGGTCCCTGCTGATTGCTCCTTAAGGTTCCTTATGAGAACTGGACTCAGCTGTGGGTGCAGCCATCTTTGAGATGGAGTGATGGTCAATTAGCATATTCCCTCTTTATTAGATAGGATCATAGTGAGATGTATATATCTCCCCCTTGCCATGCCCAGTAGAAGTATGCCGGAAAAATATTGCATGTAAACCTAAATTTATTTAAAACTACTTTGAAAACTAGCTCTTTACAGAAAGACTGACCACAGGGTTTATTTAATGCAATAAGTCTCCTCTTTATATAAAAAAAAATAGATTTATGTTAAGTGATATCATGTTGACTTAAAACAAGATGAAACTACATACAAGTCTGTATTTTGCCAAACCAATTATGATTTATGAAATAATCCCAACCACATTTTCATGAGACTACTTGTGCTCTCAATAACAGAGAAACTCCCCCACTCCACAATGCCAGTTATTCATGCTTTCCCTTTACAAGACGTATCCGGCCCACACCTCGTGACTCCCACCAGCCCTGCCACTCTAATCCTTTCCTATTCTAGACCCTATAAGGTTCCTAGGAACAGGAAGATATCTTCTGTGTCTTTTTGTTATTATTAATCCTCAAGTGAGGATATTTTCCCCATTGATTCTTAGAGAGAGTGGAAGGGAGGGAGGAAGGGTTGAGAGATAAAAGAGACATGGATAGGTTGCCTCCTCTGCACGCCTCGACCTCAGGGCGGGATCGGGCCTGCAACTCAGGTACATGCCCTTTACAGGGAATCGAACCCAGATCCTTCGGTCAGCGGGCCAAGGCTCTACCAACCGCTATAACCATCGAGCAAACAAGCCAGGGCTTTCTTTTTTCTTTGTTCAAGTCCTTTATAGCCTCTACCCACATGACCAGAAAAGCTCTAAGGGTACCAAGAATGGGTGGTAAATTTTACTGTTTTCTAAAATGTTAGCTCCCATTTACTAAGAACAATTATAGGTGCCGATATTCTGAGTCATTTTTATCCCCATCTGACAGATGAGAAAACAAGCACGAAGAATGCAACTTGCGGGGAGGATAGAGCTAATAAGAGGAAGAAACTAGGACTCCAAAGTAATACTGCATGCTTTGGACTCAAAGGACTTGTGGAGTCTTTTTACTCAAACTCCACAAGTCCTAGTCCAACCCCTTTTTCTTACAGATGGGAAGACTGAGTCCCGCCTCCCAACCCCAGAGGCAGCCTCCTCTCGCCCTCCTTTCCAGCCCCCACGCCAGGGGTTCCGGGTGTGCTCCTCCGCATACCCCCACGGCTCGGCTGATGTTGTCCATCTTGCTGGCGACCTGTTGGAAGAGGGGGTAGCAGGTCTGGCAGAGGCGCACCGGCCGGGCGCCGCGCACCAGGCACCCGGTCAGCTCCGCGCTGCTGTTGGCAAAGTCCAGCAGCAGGTCCCGGCACTCGGGATCCAGGTCCGGCAGGTCCGGGGGCAGGGACCGTGGCCCCAGTCTTCCTCCCCGCAGCAGGGCCAGGGACAAGTCCTCCACGTCCAGCCACTGCTGCTCTGACAGCAGGTCGTCCAGGACCCTGCGGGGGCTGCCGTCCGCGGCGAGCGTGCCCAGCGCCAGCCCCGGCCACAGCAGCGGCGCCAGCAGCAGCCCCGGCAGCAGCCACGAACTCCGCGGCGGAGGCGTCGCGCCGGGATCCATCGCGGGGTTCCCGCGCGGACCCTCCACTACTCCTAGCCGGCGCCGCCGACCGCCACTGCTTCCGGTTTCCCGGGGCGCAGGCCGCGAGTTGGGGTCACGAGGTGCGCGCGTCATAGCCCCGCCCCCGGCGCGCGGCGCCCCGCCCCATTGGCTGCCCGGAACCTCTCGCGGCCCGCAGGCCGGCGCGCGAGCTGCACTGCGCACGCTCCGGAGGCCTCGCGCCCCCTGCAGGCGTCGCGCGGCTGACGGAGGGGTGTGCAAGGCCCGGGAGCCGCACTCTGCCGCCCTGACAAGGCGGGTTTCCACCGCTTTGAACAATTAAATCTCCCGGGGGGGGGGGGGGGGGGGGGGAAGGAGGGTCGTGGCCCTGGATCGCCCACTGCATTGGGCGTTCCCTGCCCTCCAGAGCTCACACCGCAGAAAGACGGACGCGGGGGAATTATTACCCTAAGGCCGCTGGCAGGTGCCTGTGCAGCTTTGTTTGCTTGGTGTTTCTTAACATGATCTTACCCGTCATGTTCGGAAAGAGTGAAAACGGCCTGTGAGTATTTTTGGTAGTGGAGCCTCGTGGCTTCCAAGTTTTAAAAACAAAAACAAAAAACAACAAAAAAAAACAAAACAAAAAACGCGGACCCGCCAGAGCCGCCACTGCCAGCGAGGACATGTGCAAAGTAAGTCAGAGGTCTGTAGGGCCGGCCAGCCTGAGTCTGCTCACCTCCAAAGTCTATGCATCACAGAAGGACGCGCCTCACAAAACTTCCGTGAAGGCTAATGAGCTGGCACTCCACTCGGTTCCCGAGAGTCAACTAAATAGGTGGAGGAGCCAAACACACAACTTGAAGAAAGTATCTCATATCTCCAGCATATATAAAAGTTGGTGTCGGGAATTGTTACTCCCACGCTGAACTCAAGATGCGAAGTTGGGTTCAGTGGGGTTTACACAGCTATGAATATCTCCAAAATGCACCGCCTGCATTTGTTCCAAGACTTGGTATTGCTGGTTTTGTGGCGTTGTTGGACTCCTTTTGGCTAGTTCAAAAACAAAGATGCTGGTGTATCTTTCCACCTGCTTTCATGGAATTAGTTGCCTCTCTTTTTAATATCCATGACCAGCTATCATATTTGTCCAGGTCAGTGGGGGCAGGAACTTTGATCACATGGGGGCAGCCATATTGTGTATTAGAGGGATGGTCAGTCTGCATATTACTCTTATTAGATAGGATAGAGGCCTGGTGCATTTCAGGTGATTCATGCCTAAGACTTGAAAGGTTTCATATATTATAGCATGGCCTGAAAGTTGAGAATTGGTATTTTAAAATCCTATTCTACCCATCTTATTTTTTAAAAATACTATATTTTTATTGATTTCAGAGAGAAAGGAAGAAGGAGAAAGAGGTAGAAACATCAATAATGAAAGAGAATCATTGATCGACTGCCTCCTGCATGTCCCCTACTGAGGACTGAGCCTGCAACGCCAGCATGTGCCCTTGATCAGAATGAAACCTGGGACCCTTCAGTCCACAGGCCGACGCTCTGTCCACTGAGCCAAACTGGTTAGGGCATAAACCACCTGAAATCCAGTTGGGAGCAAAGCCACTCCTCTTCCTATAGACATGTCAATAGGTCATGTCAGCAGCCTTGAACTCTCTCACCTGAAACTTGTCAGAGACAGGAGAAGGGCCAGGAATGTGCCCTAATGGTTGCTTGCATCTGGGAACTTGCATAGCCAGATTGGAGATTCGTGCAGAGAGTAGTGGTGCCTAGTATGAGATTTTAGCAGGAAGCCATGAGACATTTAATAATGGCGGTGCATCAGAGGAAAAGGATCAATGCTCCAGAACGGCCCCAGGAATGTTCTAGGGACAACATGCAACATTCAGAAGCAAGGGGCTCTTAGAAGCAACGTGGCTGGAGTTCCCACAAAGTAATGCAAATTCTGACCATTATTGGGATGCACTTATTACGACCTGCTTGAAAACATGTTTTTCTGGCCCATACTAATCCTTCTAACTCATTTCTACATTGTAGCTCCCCCGTACTTGTCATGCAGATGATCCTTCTCTGCTTAGAAGAGCTAATATTGGCCCTAGTATGAATATACATTTCCACTCTACCCTCAACCCAGGCATGATTCTGTGTCCCAGCTATGTATGAATTTTGGGGGGTGCTGATAGTTTCTATTCTGATATGAATAGCCTGCTGAGGCCTGCAAGACTCAGTCAGTCCCCAATCTTATGAATACCCCTGTCACCTGAAGAGGGAGGTCATTTGGGGGATTGGTCATTTGAGTGAGTAAGTTCAGACATCTAACTAGAACGTGGGTCAGAATCTAAGGAGGGAGACTCAGCCTCTCTCTTTCAATTTAGATTCCTGGGGCTTTAAGCAGCATTAAGTGCATGCTTAGCTGATGGAGATGAAGGTCAAAATGGCATCCACAATATGGAGAAAGAATAACTATGCAAAATATTTATCTATGGGGTTCTCTGACTAATGGTATTCTTGCCCAAACAATAAAAAAATAAAAATAAAGCCTGAATTTATTAAAATCATTAGATCTTCTAGACTTCAGGAAGTACTGCAAGAGAAAGAAAAACAATTTAAATCTCTGCTTCATTGACACATGAAATCTTTGCTGAATAATACCATGAGGAAACAAGCAGGCATGTTCAGAATGCGAAATATTCCTCAGGGGGAAAAAATGATCTGATTTCTGAAAAAAAGTCAATGTCATGTGAAATTAGCGTAGAGACTATAGCAAATAAACATTTCTGAAGACTTAAAAGGTATAACAGCAACATTCAAAAATATTTTAAAAATTTTTAAGAGCTATACAACCAAATATAAGTGTACCTTGTTTTGGATCCTGATTTGAACAAACCAATTGCAAAAATAAATGTTTCTTAGACAATTAGGGAAACTTGAAAATCATACTATCTGATATTAAAGAATATTATTTTTCATTAGATGTGATATTGCCATGTGACTATGAAATGTCATTTTGTTCTATGTATAATGAAGTATTTAAGGGTGAAATGATATGTAATATTTGGGATAAACTTTTAAAAATCCATAGCCAAACCAAGAAGAAGATAGGAGCCAAGAAAGCAAAACATGGTACTTATTGGAGTTGGGTGATGGGTGCATCAGAGATTATTACCCTACTTTTGTGTATGGTGGAAATTTTTCACATTAAAAAAAACTATTTTAAAAGTATGATATGATATATAATGTGACATAATTCAGGTTTAATATTTTTCACTAAATATCAATTGGTATTCATTTTTTTCCTTTTTATTTAGATACACTATAAGCAGATTTTCAATTTTTCACCAAAGGAATTATGGAATTAAAAAAAAAAAAAGCAGTCAAAATACAAAGTTCTTCCTCAAGCACCCTGAGAATGTCCAAGAAGCTTCTTCTAAGGAACAAGCTCATGTCTACAGAACACAAAGCAAGGCAAAATCATGCAGAGAGTGGGGTACACAATTCAGATATTTCCATCTTTAAGAGTACATTCTGACCTGAATTGTGCATTTTGGCTGCCTTGAATCTTAAAGTGCTTTAATAGTTACATATTCTTCTCTGCCTTATACTGTTTAGACTCAGTGTGAATTGGAAAAAGTAAATCATTTTTTAAATTGGCCAGAGCAGCCATGAGACATTCTGGCTGGAACAGTGGTTACAGTATGAGGATGAGCTGAGTGTGTCGTGATGCTCTGCTAAACAGGAGAGAGTGAAGAGGATACAGCTGCTGAGAGTTCATGAAAACTTTAAAGACGACATGGAGTGGTCTGAGGAAAGGGCCCTGTGCCAACTGGGGTCACCACAGCCCTGCCTCAAGGGTGGACACAGGAATTAGGATTCATTTGCCAGAGCTCCCTTTATTGACTTCATCCCTCATCTCATGCCTAGGTCACCATTTAGGTCAGAGGTCAAGGCTCTACTGGAGCTGATGATGGCTCTACCAGGAGGCAAAGTGGAGAAACTCCAAAAGGGGCATATACTGTCACTGACACAACTCTGTGGGCATAAGACATAACGCTGTCTACTCTCACCAGAACATGACTCACCTCTTAATAATATTTACTGCAGCCCGTATCTTGGATAAATATGAGCTATAACTACTTCACTATTTTTTTTTTAACTTCATTGATTTCTATTGAGAGAAGCTATTTGTTCTTTATCCAGGACACCAATCTGATCCTCCTGACCTGCTTCACTCAAAACAGTTTTCAGAACTCCAGTGCTCTCTGAGTGTCTGCCCACCCTTCCTCTTCCTCTCCCCGTCTTTGACACTTGCATTGGAGAGCCACAGCATAGCATATGGGTTTTCTTTCTTACCATACACTCAAACACAACCTCCTGTAACAGCAATAATTGTTCTTAGTTGCCAAGGAGTGGCAATACCAAATTCATGCCAGATTCCAGAAAGACCAGCCCAGAATTACCCTGCTCACAGTCCTGGCTTGTACGCCCAAACTCTGAATCTCAGAGATAGTCAACAATTCAACAAATATTTCCTGAGAACTGACACCAGGCAGAGTTCTGGATAAATGGGTAATGAGGGAGGGGTGGGAAAAGAAAATGCTCCTGGTGTGTCATAGGCACAGGAGAAATAGGTGTGTGAATAAACCCCTGTATAATATCAGGACACATAGAAGAATATGAAGATAAGGTAGGAAGATGAGGAGGGAGCAACACGGAAGCACATCTTGATAGTGGGTTAAAAAAAAATAAAGCTTTAAAAAGAGCTGAAGCACATAAATGCTACCCTTTGCTCTCCCTTGATTAACCTGAAGTGCTCACTCCGGGTAAACAGTGGCTCGCTCATCAGTGAGATCTTTATCTTTGATGTCACCTTTTCTTTCTTCTTTTATTTTTAACTGTTTGACCCTGGACACCAGTAGAAGCTTCAGTAAAGTGGTTCTCCCATCACTGATTTCCTCTAGTGCCTGAGATACCGCCATCCCTTAGACACACAAACTCATGCCCCAGATGGT